GACCTGGTTGGCCCATGTACTGGGGGGCCAATGCAAGGGGAGGGACACCTGATGAGCCGGCCAGACCAAGATTGACATCAGGATTCCAATGGAATTACCCTCATGAGCTAGAATCAATAGATAAAAAAGATAGCAAATGAAATCAAAAGTTAACCCTGTATGTAAGTGGGGATACAGGGTGGTGTAGTCTTCCAAACATTCCAGCTGCTGACAATATTTTTTGTTTTTTTGCAAACCAAGAAAGCAAGCTTTCTTGGTTTGAACTTTGGCTGTAGTCCAACTGTGCAACCACATTGGGCCAGATTAAGCCAGGATCATCTTGCTCCACATCTGCATTTGGAGCTATTAGGGGGATAAATCTACACCTCACTAATCCTGGGAGTGAGTGCTACATGCATATTCAAAATTTGTGAAAGCCTGTCCACTCATACTATTACAAACCAGCTCTGATCAAGTCAGATCAACTGGCCTCAAATCCATGACACATAGATTCAAGTGATCTCAGCCACCAGTCCACCAATGTGGTTAGATGCTGAGAATAGCTGGATCTGAAACTAGTCAGAGCTCTCTACTAGTATGGTGTAGCTTTTTCACCAATTTGGATTAGGGATGGCCTCTAGTACTCCTTGGCAGGTACCGGCAGATGTGTCCTAGTACCTGCTTGTGGGTGCAGGTTTCCAAGTTGAATGGAATTCAAGGCGGGTACCCATATTTTTCACGGATACCTGTCTCAATGGTGAAACCAATATTTACTGGGTATTGGTATTGGAATGTGGGGTGGTATTGCCTTGGAATACCACCCAATTTTTGGGCCCAGTATCTTGTTGGCCCCCCGGCACAATACATATTATTGATGGCCGCATGTATTGTGTCAAGGAGTATCACTTCTAGCTACACAAGGTGCAAAACTTAATATGTTTAGAGTTTAAAATCTGGGACTAAATGATCCAGGTGGTAATTCCAATGATGATTGGTAATTACAAGGTTAAGAAATGGTAGATAGGATTAATTATATCAATAAATATTGATATAATTTAAACAGAGGGGGCTGATGAATCAGGGGTTGTTTAACCCCTCAAAGGTATCTTGCCAAAGCAGAGGATTTAGCAGCACTGGGTAGTTACGATACTCTACGATAACCAGACCATTTTAGTATTGTAGAGTGTCTTCCTTACAACCTGATAACACTACCGCTACTAGTAACGACCCCTTTTGTCAGCAACTTGTAAAGTAACTAGGCTATTTTTTCAGTTGAAAAATACAGATATTGTAACATGTTTTACCCCTGGTTAACAAAATAACCCGTCAACCAGGGGGTAAAAAAGCCTAGAGTTGAAAAAAAAATCCATTGTGCCCATAAACTTTTCTGCTACATCCTTGGAGGCTTGGCTTGTCTGAATTCCTCCCCCTCAGATTCATCCACACACCCACACTCTATCTCATCAGACACCCAATCAAATGGCCTCACAGAACAAACAACCAAGTACTTGTGACCCGTCCGGTGAGAATGATCCCATTGGCTATGCCACTGATCAGTCTCAGGCGCATAGGCGCTGTTCATCACGTGCATCATCAGTTGTTGTTACCCCAAACATGGTCAGCATATCTTCAGACTCTCGATTGCAAGTAGCCCACCCAACCCAAAAATGGCCTGCAGTGGCAGAACTGTCAACCGATTCAGCAACAGATGCAAGAACAACGTTGGATTCAGACTCAGATGGCGAGTCAGCTCCGCCTAAATTCAAATCGGCTTCCTCAAAATCAAGACCAAAGAAAAAGAAACCACGCCAGCAGATTGTTGTCTCCAAGAAAAACAAAGCCACCGTTTCCGTAGCTGCCAAACAAAAAGCAACTCTGGTGTGTGATATTGAATGTCACGGTATCCATTCTTTAAAATTGAAAGGATATAGGCATTAATTTTATTGTTTTTCTGAATCTAAACTTCCTCAAGACCAGTGAAGATTATCAGGCCCATGATTACAATCAGGATACAGATGTGGGATCAATTGAAATCCAACCACAAGGGAAGAAGAATAGTAAGGAGGACGAATATGCAAAGATTGAGGATTAATTTTTTCCTCCAGTTTGTAAGGAAGGCAATGCTGAAGATTGTTGTGACATAGTCATAGGGCTTGACTGCGACACATGTCACAGATCTGTAGTTAGTCTATAAGAGTGATTTTCATAACTAAAAGTAATGAAAATCATCGATCTCCCGAGCTCTCACTCCAACAGGTTATGAGCCTCTCGCCGGAGTAGCTCAAATTTTTTTTTACCGGTAGCCAATTGTCAGACAAGAATAACACCGTAGTCTTCCAACGTTAAGACGAGCATACCCCACCGTAGTCTATCGAGACGAGCACTGTAGTGGGGGTTGATAAGTGCACGCCAACCCCCATGGCGCACGCCAATCTGCACGCCAAGCGCAGATTGGCGTGCACCCTGGCGTGCGCCGTGGCTGTAGGAGTGAACGTACCAGCGCTCGCCTCGGTGCTCGTCGGGGTAGACTGCGCGTGGGTATGTTCGTAGACACGGTGGAAGACCACGGTGGACTACTGGTCAGCGAATTGACTACCCGGAAGCAACACTGGCAACAGCTCCGGCGAGAGGTGCATAAACTGGCTCGAGTGATAGCTCGATAAGATCGACGATTTTCATTGCTTTTCACTCTTGATAATCACTCTTA